TCAGAACTAAAAATTCTTCAAAAATTGATGCATAATTTGAGAAAAATGATGCAAATGCTATAAAATATCTCGATAGATTAAAAGTGAAAAATGCTATACATGTATTTTCTGAGAAATCTAAGTAAAAGAAATAAGTAAAAAGTCTCAAAAGTTATTGAGAATAAGCTAATATTTAAAAAAATAGTGCAAATACAGATTGTAATTCATAATTTTTTTGATGAAGTGACATTTTATAATTAAAATGCAATTATCTCAAAACGGTGTTTTTAAAAATGCGTGTACCATTTTCTCAGAACCTATTCAACGGAAGCACTTGCAATCTTCACTGAATATTACTGATATGTTAATATATATACTGAAGTGAACTTTTATTAATATACCGATAATATTTTTGTAAAAGTCAGTTATCGTGAAAAAAATGACATTTTTCAAAAAATTCATAGTGATAGATTACGATGAAAGTTTTTGAAAAAACTAAACAATATATTTGAAAAAGTTCAGTTTAAATAAAAAAGTCTAATTAATATACAGAAAAAAATTTAAGTCTGTACATTTAATATTTTATGAGAAAAAGGCACATAAAAATGCTCAATTTAACATTAGCGGGATAGGGGTACCGACTTACCTTAAATGAAGTAATGTCACGGCAAGTAAGGGGCCCAAATGTACTAGGCAGATGAAAGATCAGAGTAGAATGAGGGACAGGGAAGTATCTGTATATCTTACGGGGGAAACCTTAGATTTTTCTTAGTATTGTAGCATAAATCAGGCTTCGTAGACATTGTGACGGATCTTTACGGTTCATTCCGCTAACTCCTTGGGGATTCCTTTGAAGCCATTATTCTTCCAACCAACTTTCTCCTAGAAAAGAAAACGTTATATTCTGTATTCGCTAGTTTAAGAGAGAGTGAAGTGAGAATTGAAGTTTAGTGAAGTGAGGATAGTTTGGGTGTGAAGTGAAGTGAATAGATGAAAAGCTAGCAACCCGGCAGTAGTACGTATACGTAAACAGTGTACGACGCGAGAAGTTGGAAATTCGGAAAGTGCTTAGTTCCACTATTGGAGAAGTGTTTAAGGCCACGTCTAAAAGATGAAAGGATTGCAAGAGTTCAGGTACTGTGATTTTATTTCAAGTAGAAGTTAGAGAGTTACTTTATTAGCGCAACTTTTAAATTTAAATAAACTTTGTGTAAGTTATCGTAAGGATAGGTTTGCCGGATTTTATATATTAATTCCCGCTATCTTGTCTCACCTTCTTCCTCTAATTGATGAAATTTATCTTAATTAGAGTGTTATTTTTGTGTCTGTGTTGAATATAGAGATAAATAAATAACTCAGGTCGTTTGCTGACTCAGTTTCAGCAAACGACCGCTATTTGTAGTCTGCGCGTCTACCTACCAATTTCTAGAAAAATCCCCTCTCGTCATAAGTCACGACGTTATGGACATTTCCATTAATTTTGAGTAGAGTCGCGAAATCGCTAAAAATGGTCACCAACTTGGCTGTATCTGCAATATTTAGCCAAGTTTCAATTGAAACGCCATTATAATGTTGCTTGCGAGTTTTTCTTATCATGAAATAAATGAAACAAAAAATAATATTAGGGAGTGAGTGAATTCTAACGTTGCACTATTACTCTACACGAGCGCGTTTGGCGACGAACCCTTAATTTTGAACCATGGTCAAGTGACGAAGACGACACTGAACTGGAACCCACTTTCTCTAACTTCCCTACCTAACAGACGGGAGGTCGTTTGAGCCTCGACATATTTAACGTGCACTGAGGGTCTTCAATGGTACTAGGCTCGAACTCCTGACACGCCAGCCACGGGTCCGATACCTTGACAACTAGACTACCACGGCCAACAGAAAATAATATTAACTTATTAAACATGCAGATTTAAATTATTTAAACTGTTTAAGGATGAAATTAAACATTAATTACACACAATTTGTATTAGTATGTTATTTGATCCTCAACACTAACAGTATCCGAAACTTCCACAGGTTCCATTCATAATTCACGTTTATGAAAATCCATTTAAGGTATAGCTAAAAAAATAAGAAAATCTGCCGCTTCTTTGAAATTTAAATGAAAAAGTTGTGGTGATAAGTAGCCACCCCTAACGTTAATAACCTTCCTGTCTACCTGAAAACCCCGATAGATGTGTCGGTGGACTTAAATGATCCAAAAACATTATTCCAATCCAAACTGATTTATTGATTCTTATCATATATTATGAATAGACACAACACAATTCTAATTAAGATAAATAAACGAGAGTAAAGTGCAGAGGTGAGATATCAATATAAGCGGATAATAATACAGAATTTCAACTGAATCTGGGACAGCTTAAAGGCGCACAATTACATCTACGCCTCACACTAATAATATGATTTACTTAATCAAAATCACTAACCTTATATTTTACTGCTGCGGTTCCTTCGTGACGAACTTCACGCACTCAGCTGGATGAATTGTCGAAGACTCCACGCTCCGTAGTAGTGAATTTCAATACATTTAATCCGCTTCTCTTCGCGCACATCAAAACGTAGCAAGCTCGCTTAACTTGTCAACAACTACGTGTCGACTTCTCGATCTCTTCACTTTTCTTTAATTCACTTGACTTCTCACTTCCTCTTACTTAGCTCTCTTCAACTTGCGAAAATCGAATTTATATAATATTCCTTATTTACATAAATCACGCTTGGCTCTCGATGAAGGTTGATTGAAATAAATTATTTGAATTAAATATAAAAAGAAGCGGTTAGTGAAAAACCGTATAGTTCCGTCACAAAGTGATTTTAGTTACTTTTTCTTTCGATGCTTCTACCAAGCCTTATTAACACCACCTTGCGCATTACTTTCGAAACGACCTTCTTAGCTATTAAGACGTTTAAATTCGTAAAATGTGCTAATTAATGTTTTATATTCTCTCAATAGATTTGAGGGATTAGGAGTTTCTGAATTTATCAAAGATGTTTAAAAAAAGTTGGTTAAAAACATTCACATTTTGAATTCAAAAACGGTGCATTGTGTGAACATTGATAAGAACGGCTGTTTACTTTTTCCATTCATCAATGTTCCACAAAAAAACTATTTAGTGAAGAATCTTGGTTCTTATTATTATTTCAAACATGCCAATTTTCAAGAAAACTCGCCAAATTTACCATACCGATTTTGCACGTGTGGTAGGCGTTGTATTGGTCACCATGTTCTTCGTGTTATTTTGCCCGTTTGCCGCCATTCTAAACCTAACCATTCGTTGATACAGCGAATTCGAATACTTAAATGCTAATATGGGATTTACCGAATTCTTAAAGAAAATTAAAAATAAAATTAATAAAAATATAAAACAAAAATAATAACAATAATAATTATAAAATAACATTAAATAATAAAAATAAGTTAATTTTTTCTTTTATTGCTTATTATTTATTTCTAATAACTTATTATTTTTCACTAAGTATTTTATGGCTACGTACTCCATATTCTTGTCAACATGTTCCGTTTTTAGAATTCGTGCGGTTTTATTCAAGATCGCCAATAGGGTTGTGATAATACATAAGTTCCGAAATTTCAAACTAACTCATCATTCTTATCAGCCAAACTGTCGATCCAAAGCCATCTAAATTTATAAGTAAAATACTTTTCCTTTTTATTGCAGAGACACGTGCACATAAATCCTTCTTTTCCCATCTTTTGGGATTGCATCTCTGTACTCGTTTCATTCTATTCCGCTCAAAAGCTCCACGCTGACTTTCGACGAATTGTTGCGCGCAATACCAAATATAACGTACACTTTTCCCTTCTGGACAGAAGAAATGAAAGTAAGAAAATAGTCTCTACAGCGCGCGAAGAAAAATAGGCTCAAAAATTGGTCTCTAGTGGATCGTCAGACCTGAAGAACGATCCATTTCTGTGCTTTGCAGGTGTTGAAAATTGTGATGCTCTTTCTATGGAGATGCCTTTCGAAGCACTGAAGTATTTTAGTTGGATGTGTGTACAATTGGGTCTGACGCAAATTGAGAGATCGACACTTCATTAATTATTATTTGCATGTGTGAAATCGCGAATAAAATTTTGGAAAACATATGTATTACTTTTTAAACGATGTCTTTTCTTCCGATTAGTCATGACCCATTTAAAAACTGCAAAATTGGGAAAAACACTATGGAAATTGCTGAAATACTTTTAACTTTGAGAATTAAATTATTTGAATTCAGTATTAGTTATGGAAAAATTCAAAACGGGGCTTATTCAAAAACAAGTAATATGAAAAAAAAATTAAGTCAATTCCTAATGGACTAAATTTATGACGGTCACATGATAATATAAACATGTGTTCTACATTGAATTCAAAACGGACAATAAACTATAGCTCGTACTTTTTATTCTATTTGTAAAAATTGGGTAAAATTTCAAATTGCATAGTTGGGTAAAGATGCTCAAGAGTTATAAAAAGAAATTTCTGCAAAAAGATTTTAAAAATTAAAGAAAAAAAAGTCTTGTTTTACACATGTACTTTTAAATAAAGTGACAAATATTAATTTTTTTAAAAAAAGTTTCTGTAAAAAGCGTCATTTGGCAACAACAAAGTGCATGAACTGATTTGCTCAGAATAGATAATTGCATTTATCGTGACTATGACGTCATATGTGTTTTTGAACTTGATTGGCTAAAAACACGTGGTTTAAAATTATCATGTGATTATGACGTCACATGAATTTAGTCCATTGGTCAACAAAGAAAAATTTCCTTTTAGTTACTTTTTTATTAAATAGTTGCAATTAATATAGATATGTATATACTATGACAAAATCACCATATTAAATAACAAAATAGAAAGCGATTTTCCTTGCAGTTTTCCATTTTCCTTTCTATATATGGTATTGGACTATTTTTTGTTTGCTACTATTTATTTATTAATTAAATTTAATTATTCTAATAAAATAGTATTAAAATAGTCAAAAAGAGATCACATTCTCAGAAATTATGCTATCCCAGGTGGGATTCGAGCCCACGATTTTGGAATAGAAGTCTAAAACGCTATCCATGGCACTACAGGGACACAACGAGCGATTTTCCTTTCTATATATAAGGGTATTGAACTATTATTTCTGTTTGTTACGGTTTAGTCAATAATAAATTAATATTGGGAAAAATGAATTAATGTGGGACACAACGAACCATTTTAATTTTCATGTATGCTGTTGGATTATTATTTTTGTTCGTTATTATTTATTCATTTTTTAATCTAATTGATGAATTAAAATATTCGAAAAATTTGTATTAACATCAAGTGTCATCCACTACAAGTTTAAAAAATGTATTTGAACTTCATTGGATGGATAGAAAGTATTTTATTAACGATTGAAAATTTGAACAAGATATATATATGTCTAATATATAAAATTCTCGTGTCACAGTGTTTGTAGCCAAACTCCTCCGAAACGACCAGACCAAATATTATGAAAATTTTTGCGTATATTCAGCAGGTCTGAGAAAAGGACGTAAACTATTTTTCCTTCCGATATTGCAATTAGTTGTGAAGATATTAATTAAAAACCTTAAAACGCCTAATTGTTTTACTCCTAAGGGTTGTTTATTTGGCTAAACTTCCATTCCGTCTCGGCCGAGCAAAGATCCCCACTTTTTCGACCATTTTAAAATAGCCATCCAATTTTTGCTTTTGAAATCAGACAAAAAATAATTACAGAATCGGAAAGATCATTTATTTCGCCACAATACGGTATAATATTTTTTACAAAATAATAATATTTTCTATTTTTTAAATTTTTTTTAAAAAAAAGTTAAAATTAATGAGTTTTTATGAAAATTATTTCTAAATTGTTGTGTATGAATTTATTTTCGTGTTTTGGAAACAATATTCTACACTAAATAGTTTTAGACCTTTTTGTAAAGTATAAAATGGAAAGCAGGAGGCTAGAAAGCTGTTTTTTTATGCGGCTAATATGTGCTGGAGGATGTAGCTGAGGGTTGGGCATTTCTTTTCGCTCGAGGGCCAACTTGAGGAAGCAGAGGATATCGGAGGGTTGTACCTTTTTTTAATTGAATGCATTCATTGTTTAACTTTGTATCACAGAAAAGATATAAACTGTACCATTACAAGTAATAAAAAAATTTTTAAGTCATTTCCTACTTTGAATGAATATAATGCATGAATTGAAAGTATTTTATTAACAATTGAAAATTCTAACAAGATATATATATATATATATGTATATGGAGAGAGTGAACTAATAGTAGGAGTTGAAAAAGAGCATGATTTGTCTGCATTGTTGTAACAATGCACATCGGGTTTGGCAAGTTTGGCTGAAAAATCGGTTTTCGACGCCAACTTCTGAAATTCTCTTAACATTTACATTGTTACAACAATGGTGACGAATCTAAGTTGGAGTCGAAAACCGGTAATTAATTTAGGGTAGTTAATAAATTAATATTTGAAAAAACTGTATTAACATTAAGCGACATATTAAAAAAAAATAAGTGAACCTGATAGGATGAATAGAAAATATTTTATTAACGATTGAAAATTGGAACAAGATATATAAATAAACAAATATATATGAGAGGGTGAGCTAATAGTAGGAATTGAAAAAATTAATACATAAAAGTCAAATAAAGTAGTGGCAATTTAATTAATTTGCTTTATTGTGCTAATTTGTATCTGTAGGTGCAAGTACATTTAATTTTAGTAATGCAACAAATGTACCTTATCCCACTTTTCTACAATTTGTTTGAAATCAGGAGTAAGGTTTGTTGAAAGTCTCATCACAACCCGTAGGTTAAAGTTAGGCAACTTGCATCCCTATTTGCTCTCGTTGATCTTGCAAGAAAAATTATGTTCACAAATATATGTTGACCCAAATAAAGAGAACATTTTCTGGCTATTTAGTTTTTTAACTATCTTGGTGAACCGGAAAAAAAGAAGAAAAAATCTTTGATGGGGTTGCTATTTGCCCACTCCTGATGTAGTCACATTTTGCCATTTGCACTAATTAGGAAAGCTCTAGTAACGATGGCGGTTTTTTAAAAGAAATTTTTTTAAAAGTACTCGTATTTATTGCTTATAATATGAAAAGCAATGTGCAACTGAACGAAAATAAAAACAATACTAAAATATATAGTTTTTATGTTATAAATTACGTCATTAATTGTATTTATCCTATTCATTATATTAAAAAGAGAATATTTAACTGAAATTTTTTTTTCTTTTCATATGAAAAAAGCTCGGTAAAAAAGATTTTTTATAAATTGGGTATTTAAATACACACAATACTTTTATTACTCTAATTAAGTATCAAACATATGCCTTGAAAATGAATTTTTAAGTGCTGTATTAAATCTGCAAACCTTGCTGACCAAAATTGTAAAACTGACAACCATGTGCTGTTCTTAATATAAATACAAAATACATGTTTTTTAAATGTAAAAGTTGATTTTTTTCTAAAATTAAAAACTGAAAAAATTCTAGCTGTTAATTTTTTAATTATATACTTTTATACATACACAGTTTTAAAAAAATAGAGGAAGAAAATTGTTATTCTGTATTTTAGCGTAATCCAAGATAATTTTTTCTGTAACTCTTTTAAATGCTAAATTTAAAAACTTAAAGATTTTGTAAAATTTTGTTTGATATATGTTACGGACCATTACGCCATCCCTTCTCACCTCACCCCTCTTGTACGGAGAAATGGAACAACCTCTCTTTTTGTGTACTTTGTTTTTTGTTTCTTCTCTCTGTGTTGTTGTTGTTCGTCCCAGTTTGAATAAAGGAGTCGCAATGCATTGGTAAAAATTCGTTGAGTCGTTATTTCGTATTTAAAATTATTCCTGAGCCTTCGACTTATGTGCAAAGTTTGTACATAAAAAAATGATCCGCCTTGCGGAGTTTTATTAAATCCCAGAACCTGTGGATTTAGAAGATATTTAAGAAATCTTTTCGTTGGTTTCATTGCTTTGAATGCGTCATGGCGAAAGGCGTTAAAATTCTCGAAAGGAAGTTCTCCGACATCGAAAAACAGTTGAGTGGATTTATCGCATTTGTGGACACTTTCGTTGAAGATGACAAAGAAGTGTTATCTTTCAAATTAAGTCAATTTGATAGACTTAATTCCACACCGCACCAATGTAAGGACTTTAAACCTCTATAGACTTGGCATCCACCAATAGTTCTACGCTGTAAAAGTTCTCATTTGCAACAAAAGTAGAATCCACGATTTGACCGAAACAGTTCCGGTTACGAGATTGTGACCATGATAATTCGACTGATTGAACGATTGAATATTAACGTCACATCATTGAGCGAAACGATGACTTTTGGTGATTGACCTCGTCTTTTTGAACCGTGGTCAAATGAAAAGGATAACACCTGAGCTGTAGGTACACCCTCTCCAAAATCCTACACCACACCAATTGGGTGAACGTTTCAGTCTCGACCTATTTAACGTGCATCAGCTCCTATTCCACAGTGGATCTTCAGCGGTACTAGGCTCAAACTTATGACACGCCTGTGTGTCTTTAGCTATGACCTCAACATAACCATTCAACCACCTATTACATATAAATCCAATGAAGTAATTGTATTACATCGTAAAATGTGATTTGATCTTTAAAATTTAAGACTACATTTAATTTATATTTAAGTTTATTACATATTTTCTCACCACCCATCTTGTGCAGTGATTAGTGATGCTGATTGTTGCGTGGTGGGGTCTGGGTTCGAATCCCAGAGAAGACATGGATGTTTGTAAATGTATAGTGCTTTCGTAAAATAGGGGTACTCTAACTATCCGTCGAGCCGCAAGTCGTTTCGTGAGGTTGATGGAAGGGGAAGACAGGTGGGAAGCTCCTGACCAGTCCCAGGGTGTTCTCCCTCAAAATTGGGGTAGAACCAAGCCAAATCGTTTTGTCACCAGCTGGTGCTCAAAGCTACGTCTAACGACAGGCATACAATATAGCCAGATGCCATGATGAATTTCATGAGCCTCGATTTATCTACGTCAGTCAAGTGGCATTAGCAACAACGACACAACCAAAGAAACTGATTTCTTTTATTCCTTATGATCCGTTATATATTTACTGTAGTTGCCATCAATTTGATTTTTCTTAGATAAATTTTCCTGGACACGTTCAACACACAATACTTATAAAAGAAAATCTCATTATCTTGAAAGTCTTTCTAAACCTCAAGTTCTTCTCATGTAATTGTAGAACATAGGAAATTCTGTTAAAAACCGTAATAAATTTAATTAGATGAGATAAATTAGTTAAGAATATTTTGAATTAGTTCAATTACATAAAATGGCTAGACTTAATTAGATAAACTATCGAATTGAATCTAGTTAATCTTTTACACCATCACACAATTTTACTTTCACAGACTCTTCTAATTATTTATTGTCATTGGTTAATTATGTCTCGTTAAAAGTGTCAGCAAATAGATTCAATTTTGGTTCCCAGGGGAAAGAAAATGTGATTTGTTAACGTTTAAAAATTAATTTTATCATCTATATATATAAAGGAGAAAAGCGACTGACTGACTGACTAATCACGAAATCTCTGGAACTATTCAAACTACAGACTTGAAATTTGGTAGACATGTTCCTTTGATAGAGTAGACATCAGCTAAGAAAGGATTTTTCGAAATTCGAAACGCAAGGGGCGTTACGGGGGGTTAAGGGCTTTAATAATAATTGTTTCCATGTTTAAACTACTTGATGTACAATCTTGAAATTGGGTAAGCGGATTCCTTTCAGAGAGTAGAGATCCGCTACAAAATGAGTTTGCTGAAAATCGACCCCCAAGTGGCGTTGCAGGGGCTTAGGGGGCGTTATAGATAATTATTTCCAATTTTAAACTATTTGACGCACTGTCTTTAAATTTGATATATATATAGATTCCTTTCGTAGAATAATGATCAGTTACAAAACGGGTTTTGTGAAAACAGACTTCTAAGTGGCGTTGCGGGGGATTAAGGGGCGTAATAGATAAATATATCCGTTTTTAAACTACTTCACCTACCTGCTTGAAAATTGGTAGGTAAGT